GATGTGTGTACTCTCCTGGTGTACTGTGTACTCAAGGTGTACTGTGTACTCAAGGTGTACTGTGTACTCATGGTGTACTGTGTACTCATGGTGTACTGTGTACTCCTGGTGTATTGTGTACTCATGGTGTACTGTGTACTCAAGGTGTACTGTGTACTCAAGGTGTACTGTGTACTCATGGTGTACTGTGTACTCATGGTGTACTGTGTATGGTGTACTGTGTACTCATGGTGCACTGTGTACTCAAGGTGTACTGTGTACTCATGGTGTACTGTGTTCTCATGGTGTACTGTATACTCCTGGTGTACTGTGTACTCATGGTGTACTGTGTACTCCTGGTGTACTGTGTACTCATGGTGTACTGTGTACTCAAGGTGTACTGTGCACTCATGATGTATTGTGTACTCATGATGTATTGCGTACTCATGGTGTACTGGGTACTCAAGGTGTACTGTGTACTCATGATGTATTGTGTACTCATGGTGTACTGTGTACTCATGATGTATTGTGTACTCATGGTGTACTGTGTACTCATGATGTATTGTGTACTCATGGTGTACTGTGTACTCATGGTGTACTGTGTACTCAAGGTGTACTGTGTACTCATGGTGTACTGTGTACTCATGGTGAACTGTGTACTCCTGGTGTACTGTGTACTCAAGGTGCACTGTGTACTCAAAGTGCACTGTGTACTCAAGGTGCACTGTGTACTCAAGGTGTACTGTGTACTCAAGGTGTACTGTGTACTCAAGGTGCACTGTGTACTCAAGGTGTACTGTGTACTCAAGGAGTACTGTGTATTCAAGGTGCAGTGTGTACTCAAGGTGTACTGTGTACTCTGGTGTACAGAATACACAATGCAGTAGTGCACTGTGAGTACACAGTGCACCTTGAGTACATAGTACACTAATGCAGGGTAAAATAATGTTCGAAGAAATAGAACAAACGTTGAAGCGATCATACGAGTCTGAGGAGATGGTATTGGACCAGAAAGCTATACAAGTGATAAAGAAAAATCCGAAATATTTTTCACATACGCAAAATCAAAATGAAAACCCCCCACCAGTATTGGACCTTTAATTACCACTGAAGGTACGTACACAGAGGACAACAAAGAAATTAGTGAAATTCTAAGAAGCCAGTATGAGGCTATGTTTAGCACACCAATAAACAACATGAAAGTTGATGACCCAGACAGCTTCTTTATGAATGACATTCAAGCTGCAGATAATATAACGGATATTACCACAAACTCGGAAGACTTTGAAAGAGAAATTGACAACATGTCCATGCACTCAGCTCCTGGGCCGGACTCATGGAATTCAATATTCATTAAGAAATGTAAAGTACCAGTAGCGCGAGCACTCAGCGTAATATGGAGAAAGAGCCTGGATACAGGGGAGATACCAGCAGCACTTAAATCTGCAGATATAACTCCTCTGCACAAGGGGGGGGGGGGTAGTAAAGCCTTGGCAAAAAATTATAGGCCAGTTGCACTAACATCACACATAATAAAAGTTTTTGAAAGAGTGATTAGGAATCAACTTACTAGTTTTCTGGAAAATAATGAACTACACAACCCAGGACAACATGGATTTAGAGCGGGAAGATCCTGTCTGTCACAGTTGCTCAACCACTATGACAAAATCACAGAAGCTCTAGAAGAAAAGCAAAATGCAGATGTTGTATACACAGACTTTGCAAAGGCGTTCGACAAATGTGACCATGGAGTGATAGCAAACAACATGAGATCAATGGGAATAACTGGTAAAGTAGGATGCTGGATACTCAATTTCCTATCGAACAGAACACGAAGAGTAACAGTCAATCAAATAAAATCGAGTCCAAGCTCAGTTAAAAGCTCTGTACCTCAAGGTACAGTCCATGCACCACTGCTTTTCCTTATTCTCATATAAGATATAGAGAAAAATACAAGTCACAGACAGCTTCGTGTCATCCTTTGCAGATGACACGAAAATCAGCATGAAAATTTCCTCTGCGGAAGACATTGAAAAACTTCAAGCAGATATCAACAAAGTTTTCGATTGGGCAGCAGAAAATAACATGAGTTTAACAGCGAGACATTCCAGGTACTCAGGTACGGCAAAAATGAGGACCTTAAACATAATACAGGGAACAAAACACAATCGAATCTGCCCATAGTATGAAAACAGCATGTCAAGGATTTGGGAATAATGATGTCTGACGATCTAACGTTTAGGGAGCATAACCAAGCAAATGTTGCGCCAGCTAGAAAAATGATAAGATGAATTACGAGAACTTTCAAATCCAGGGATCCCATCACAATGGTTGTACTCTTCAAGTCACTTGTGTTGTCCCGTCTCGAGTACTGCTCAGTACTCACTTCCCCCATCAGAGCAGGAGAGATTGCGGAAATAAAGGGAATACAGAGAACATATACGGCACGCATAGACGCGATAAAGCACCTGACTTATTGGGATCGTCTCAAAGCTCTCCAAATGTACTCACTAGAAAGGAGACGAGAGAGATATCAAATAATATACACGTGGAAAATACTGGAGGGTCAGGTCCCAAATCTACACAGTAGATTTGTACCTCTCACCTCTCTCACACACACACACAGGCTCGGCCCCTCACCTCACACACACACACATACAGGCTCGGCCCCTCACCTCTCTCACACACACACACAGGCTCGGCCCCTCACCTCTCACACACACACAGGCTCGGCCCCTCACCTTTCACACACACACAGGCTCGGCCCCTCACCTTTCACACACACACAGGCTCGGCCCCTCACCTCTCACACACACAGGCTCGGCCCCTCACCTCTCACACACACAGGCTCGGCCCCTCACCTTTCACACACACACACACAGACTCGGCCCCTCACCTCTCACACACACACACACAGGCTCGGCCCCTCACCTTTCACACACACACAGGCTCGGCCCCTCACCTTTCACACACACACACACAGGCTCGGCCCCTCACCTCTCACACACACACACAGGCTCGGACCCTCACCTTTCACACACACACACGCAGGCTCGGCCCCTCACCTCTCACACACACAGGCTCGGCCCCTCACCTCTCTCACACACACACAGGCTCGGCCCCTCACCTCTCACACACACAGGCTCGGCCCCTCACCTCTCACACACACACAGGCTCGGCCCCTCACCTCTCACACACACACATGCTCGGCCCCTCACCTCTCACACACACACAGGCTCGGCCCCTCACCTCTCACACACACACACACAGGCTCGGCCCCTCACCTCTCACACACACACACACAGGCTCGGCCCCTCACCTTTCACACACACACAGGCTCGGCCCCTCACCTTTCACACACACACACACAGGCTCGGCCCTCACCTCTCACACACACACACAGGCTCGGCCCCTCACCTTTCACACACACACACACAGGCTCGGCCCCTCACCTCTCACACACACAGGCTCGGCCCCTCACCTCTCACACACACACACAGGCTCGGCCCCTCACCTCTCACACACACAGGCTCGGCCCCTCACCTCTCACACACACAGGCTCGGCCCCTCACCTCTCTCACACACACACAGGCTCGGCCCCTCACCTCTCACACACACACAGGCTCGGCCCCTCACCTCTCACACACACACAGGCTCGGCCCCTCACCTCTCACACACACACAGGCTCGGCCCCTCACCTCTCACACACACACACACAGGCTCGGCCCCTCACCTCTCACACACACACACAGGCTCGGCCCCTCACCTCTCACACACACACACACACAGGCTCGGCCCCTCACCTCTCACACACACACACAGGCTCGGCCCCTCACCTCTCACACACACACAGGCTCGGCCCCTCACCTCTCACACACACACAGGCTCGGCCCCTCACCTCTCACACACACACAGGCTCGGCCCGTCGGCACTCGAGCAACGCTGCTGGAGGCGCCTAACCACTGCCCCACCTCTCCCCCCATAGATATATCCCCCTTACCATATATGCATCATGTCAAATCTCCCCTGAAGATGGTCCAGGCAGGAATGAAACATTGTGCACACATACGGTCACTCATGTCGTGTTTTATTCTCGTAAACCCCAGATTGACCATGAATTTCCGGAGCCTAATCCCGCAACTCCATGTTGATGATTGCCAGACGTATGTAATGCCTGAGCAGCAAAATCAATACCAATCAACAATAAGGAAGGATTACAGACGCACCAAACTACTACCCAAACTGAAACCTTAAAGCCTTCCTTGGGTTGCCACTTGAGCACCGAAGAATTAGGCGATCAACACCAGAGTCAAACTGTCAACCACCAAAGTTTTGGTGCCTTTGAAATCCTTCCTTAATGGCCCAGTCGATAGAGCACTCGTCTCTTGTCAAGTTGTTAATGATCAAGTAGTTTCCCGGGTGTGGCACAGGTCTGACACTTGTACTGGTGTAATACAGGTGTACTTTTGCGTCACAGAGATATGTCTAACGCCTTTGTTTGCAAGTATACTTTTTGCGTCACAGAGATATGTCTAACGTCTTTGTTTGCAAGTATACTTTTGCGTCAGAGATATGTCTAACGCCTTTGTTTGCAAGTATACTTTTGCGTCACAGAGATATGTCTAACGCCTTTGTTTGCAAGTATACTTTTTGCGTCACAGAGATATGTCTAACGCCTTTGTTTGCAAGTATACTTTTTGCGTCACAGAGATATGTCTAACGCCTTTGTTTGCAAGTATACTTTTTGTGCCATAGATATATGTCTAACGCTTTTGTTTGCAAGTATACTTTTTGCGTCACAGAAATATGTCTAACGCCTTTGTTTGCAAGTATACTTTTTGCGTCACAGAGATATGTCTAACGCCTTTGTTTGCAAGTATACTTTTTGCGTCACAGAGATATGTCTAACGCCTTTGTTTGCAAGTATACTTTTTGCGTCACAGAGATATGTCTAACGCCTTTGTTTGCAAGTATACTTTTTGTGCCATAGATAATATGTCTAACGTCTTGTTTGTTTGCAGGTAACGATCATCTTGAGAGACGTGAACGACATGGCGCCGGAGTTCGTGACGCCTAACGAGACGGTGGTGGAGGAGAACACTCCGGTCAACACCGTGGTGATGGCGGTCAAGGCCGTCGACCGCGACGAGGGACGCAACTCCTACATCGAGTATTCCCTCGCTCCGGTACCTGGCAACCGGTTTGCCCTCGGCCCAGTTGACGGCCTTCTGAGGATCGCTGCGCCGCTGGACCGCGAGGAGCGGGCCAATTACTCGCTGGTGGTGACCGCGAGAGATCGCGGTAACCCGCCAAACGCCCACACTCTCACTATCAGCCTCCGCATCGCTGACGAGAACGACAACTCTCCAATCTTCGACCCCAAGCAGTACTCGGCCAGCGTGCCGGAAAACGCCTCCATCGGCCTGTCGGTGCTGCAGGTGTCGGCCACCGACGCCGACGAGAGCCTCAACGGTCGGGTGCGCTACACCATCGTCGCCGGGGACAAGAACCGCGACTTCTCCATCAGCGAGGACACGGGCGTGATCCGCGTGGCCAAGAACCTCAACTACGAGCGTCGGAACCACTACCTGCTGACGGTGCAGGCCGAGGACTCCGGCGCCGACGTCCGCTACGACTCGGCCACCGTCACCATCTCCATCATGGACATCAACGACAACGCGCCCGTGTTCTTGGACTCGCCGTACCTGGTCTACGTCATGGAGAACATGCGCGCGCTCCCGGCGCCCATCGCAACTGTCACCGCCTTCGACGCCGACAACCCGCCCTACAACCGCGTCAATTACCTGGTCAAGGAAGGTGACAAGTCTGTCTTCTCCGTCAACGCCACCTCCGGGCAGATCAACCTCCTGAGGGCCCTCGACCGCGAGGAACGGGACTACTACACACTCACAGTCGTCGCCATGGATACCGGTGAGTATACCTGTAAACCTTTTCCCCTCAGTACCCTCGCTAAGCTTAGCCACGTCTCAGCCATATCGACGGTTGATACTGATGTCGTTAACTGGTAACCGGCATCAATGCTTCTCTCTCTGGTCTACATGGGTGTACTGTAAACTAAATCGTCATTATCTCCATTCAGTAAGAGGTAATATGCGATCCACAACTATCGTTCGTGCATAACTACACCTACACACGGACATAGGTTTAACACGGGCGGGACACGAACAAGGAGACACAGGTGGAGACTGAGTACCCACATGAGCCACAGGGACGTTAGAAAGAAATTTTCAGTGTCAGAGTAGTTAACAGGTGGAATGCATCAGGCAGTGATGTGGTGGAGGCTGACTCCATACACAGTTTATAATGTAGATATGATAGAGCCCAGTAGGCTGAGGAACCTGTACACCAGTTGATTGACAGTTGAGAGGCGGGACCAAAGAGCCAGAGTTCAACCCCCGCAAGCACAAATAAGAGAGTATACTACTCTAACTGGCAGGCGCATGCGCCCCTACGCACGTCGTTTGCACCGGTCCCCCCTACCCCCCCCCCCCCAGCCTCGCTGTGAGCCAGAGGAGGGAACACGCATTAACGCGCAGGTTGGCTGCGTCGCTATGAGAGCGCATCATAACATACCACCATTAATATTCCGTGAGCTGTGGCGCCGTAGCAAACACCGCGTCCCTCACCGTTCCCGCCACTGGCCGTCTCGCGCCCGTCTCGCGCCCGTCTCTCGCCCGTCTCGCTGATGCTGCCAGCGTCCTCCACCACGCTGTCCGCCCGTCCCGTCCGCCTCGAGTCCTCCGGAAGGCTTCCCCTTCTTTCGAGGGTAAGTCTCCCCAACCTGGCGCCTGCTTCTGGTAACTATTTACTTCCTCAACATGAGACGAACTGCTCTTCGCGTTACGCTCACTATAGTGATGAGTTTGGTGTCCTTGTAGTTGATGTGGCGTGTGTGTGTGTGTGTGTGTGTGTGTGTGTGTGTGTGTGTGTGTGTGTGTGTGTGTGTGTGTGTGTGTGTGTGTGTGTGTGTGTGTGTGTGTGTGTGTGTGTGTGTGTTGTGTGTGTGTGTGTGTGTGTGTGGGTGTGTGTGTGTGTGTGTGTGTGTGTGTGTGTGTGTGTGTGTGTGTGTGTGTGTGTGTGTGTGTGTGTGTGTGTGTGTGGTGTGTGTGGTGTGTGGTGTGTGTGTGTGGTGTGTGTGTGTGTGTGTGTGTGTGTGTGTGTGTGGTGTGTGTGTGTGTGTGTGTAGTGTGTGTGTGTGTGTGTGTGTGGGTGTGTGTGTGTGGTGTGTGGGTAGTGTGTGTGTGTGTGTACTCACCTAATTGTGCTTGCGGGGGTTGAGCTCTGGCTCTTTGGTCCCGCCTCTCAACCGTCAATCAACTGGTGTACAGATTCCTGAGCCTATTGGGCTCTATCATATCTACATTTGAAACTGTGAATGGAGTCAGCCTCCACCACATCACTTCCTAATGCATTCCATTTGCTAACTACTCTGACACTGAAAAAGTTCTTTCTAACGTCTCTGTGGCTCATTTGGGTACTCAGCTTCCACCTGTGTCCCCTTGTTCGCGTCCCACCAGTGTTGAAAAGTTCGTCCTTGTTTACCCGGTCGATTCCCCTGAGGATTTTGTAGGTTGTGATCATGTCCCCCCTTACTCTTCTGTCTTCCAGTGTCGTGAGGTGCATTTCCCGCAGCCTTTCCTCATAACTCATGCCTCTTAGTTCTGGGACTAGTCTAGTAGCATACCTTTGGACTTTTTCCAGCTGTGTGTGGGTGTGTGCGTGTGTGTGTGTGTGTGTGTGGGTGTGTGTGTGTGTGTGTGTGTGTGTGTGTGGGTGTGTGTGGGTGTGTGTGTGTGTGTGTGGGTGTGTGTGGGTGTGTGTGGGTGTGTGTGTGTGTGTGTGTGTGTGTGGGTGTGTGGGTGTGTGTGGGTGTGTGGGTGTGTATGTGTGTGTGTGTGTGTGTGTGTGTGTGTGTGTGTGTGTGTGTGTGTGTGTGTGTGTGTGTGTGTGTGTGTGTGTGTGTGTGTGTGTGCGTTTGTGTGTGTGTGTGCTAGCGCCCCGCTACACAGGTGCCCCAGCGCCCCACTACACAGGTGCCCCAGCGCCCCGCTACACAGGTGCCCCAGCGCCCCACTACACAGGTGCCCCAGCGCCCCGCTACACAGGTGCCCCAGCGCCCCACTACACAGGTGCCCCAGCGCCCCACTACACAGGTGCCCCAGTGCCCCGCTACACAGGTGCCCCAGCGCCCCACTACACAGGTGCCCCAGTGCCCCGCTACACAGGTGCCCCAGCGCCCCACTACACATGTGCCTCAGCGCCCCGCTACACAGGTGCCCCAGCACCCCACTACACAGGTGCCCCAGTGCCCCGCTACACAGGTGCCCAAGCACCCCACCACACAGGTGCCCCAGTGCCTCGCTACACAGGTGCCCCAGCGCCCCACTACACAGGTGCCCCGGCGCCCCGCAACACAGGTGCCCCAGCGCCCCGCTACACAGGTTCCCCAGCGCCCCGCTACACAGGTGCCCCAGCTACACAGGTGCCCCAGCGCCCCGCCACATAGGTGCCCCAGCGCCCCGCTACACAGGTGCCCCAGCTACACATGTGCCCCAGCGCCCCACTACACAGGTGCCCCAGCTACGCAGGTGCCCCAGCGCCCCGCTACACAGGTGCCCCAGCGCCCCGCCACACAGGTGCCCCAGCGCCCCGCCACACAGGTGCCCCAGCGCCCCGCCACACAGGTGCCCCAGCGCCCCGCCACACAGGTGCCCCAGCGCCCCGCCACATAGGTGCCCCAGCGCCCCGCCACACAGGTGTCCCAGCGCCCCGCTACACAGGTGCCCCAGCGCCCCGCTACACAGGTGCGCCAGCGCCCCGGACGGTGATTACACTGATGAATCAGAACGAATTGTCTTCAGAGCAATTTGGAGCCTTTGAGGAACACCGTAGCGTCTTCAGAAACTGGTCTGTGCCGTACGGCGTCAACCGGTTACTTGGTCATGGTTGGGATCAGCGGTTAGGCGGTGCCCAGGAGCTGGAGGCCATTGTTGGGGGCGATGGGTTGATGAGGTACAGTTTGGTAAACCCGGACGGCGGGCAGTTATGGGGCGCAGGTGTTATGACCACATCTACCACACCTGCCACACCTGCCATACCTGCCACACCCGCCACACCTGCCACATCTACCACACCTGCCACACCTGCCATACCCCCCACACCTGCCACACCTGCCACACCTGCCACACCCGCCACACCTGCCACATCTACCACACCTGCCACACCTGCCATACCCCCCACACCTGCCACACCTGCCACACCCGCCATACCCCCCACACCGGCCACACCCGCCACACCTGCCACACCCGACACACCACACCCGCCACACCTACCACACCTGCCACACCCGCCACACCTGCCACACCTGCCACACCCGCCACACCTACCCTACCCGCCACACTTGCCACACCCACCACACCTTCCACACCGGCCACACCTACCACACCCGCCACACCTGCCACACCCGCCACACCTACCACACCCCCGCCACACCTGCCACACCTACCACACCCACCACACCCGCCACACCCGCCACACCCACCACACCCACCACACCCGCCACACCCGCCACACCCACCACACCCGCCACACCCGCCACACCCGCCACACCCCCCACACCCACCACACCCCCGCCACACCTGCCACACCTACCACACCCGCCACACCCTCCACACCTGCCACACCTGCCACACCCTCCACACCCGCCACACCTGCCACACCCGCCACACCCTCCACACCCGCCACACCCGCCACACCCGCCACACCCGCCACACCCGCCACACCCGCCACACCCGCCACACCTGCCACACCTACCACACCTGCCCCACCTGCCACACCCGCCACACCCGCCACACCCACCACACCTGCCACACCTACCACACCCGCCACACCCGCCACACCCGCCACACCCGCCACACCCACCACACCCGCCACACCTACCACACCCGCCACACCTGCCACACCCGCCACACCCGCCACACCCACCACACCCACCACACCCACCACACCTGCTACACCCGCTCCAGTTGAAGGTAACAAACAGGTAAGACCAATATATAATTAGGCCTAAAGTAATAATAACACTACATATGATTCAACCGAGAAATAACCAAACTTGTTGAGGGTTGGAAACGACTTAACTACCCGAGTATCGTTAACTTTTCTTATTCCCTTCCGCTGTAAACAGCTTCGTTGTACATACCCAAACCATACCAGATGCGCTTAAAGCAGCAGACATAGCCCCTCTACACAAGGGAGGGAACAAAGCATTGGCAAAGAATTATAGACCTGTTGCACTAACGTCCCACATAATAAAAGTATTTGAGAGAGTGATCAGAAGTCAGGTCACTAGTTTAATGGAAACCAATGACCTCCACAACCCAGGCCAACATGGATTTAGAGCGGGAAGATCATGCCTCTCACAGCTACTTGACCATTATGACAACATCACTGAGGCATTAGAAGAAAAACAGAACGCAGATGTGGTATACACGGACTTCACAAAGGCATTCGATAAATGTGATCTTGGGGTGATACCACACAAAATGAGGTCAATGGGAATAACTGGTAAAGTAGGACGCTGGATACTCAATTTTCTGTCGAACAGAACACAAAGAGTAACAGTCAATTATATAAAATCGAGGCCAAGCGCAGTTAAAAGCTCTGTACCTCAAGGTACAGTCCTTGCACCACTGCTTTTCCTTATTCTCATATCAGATATAGACAAAAATACAAGTCACAACTTCGTATCATCTTTTGCAGATGACAAAAATCAGCATGAATATTACCTTTGCTGAATACATTGAGATACTATAAGCAGATATTAATAAAGTTTTCGACTGGGCAGTAGAAAATAACATGATGTTTAACAGTGATCAATTCCAGGTACTCAGGTACGGTAAAAATGAGGA